AAAGTGGGATTGTCCCTGCCTAATTCCATGGAGGAACTAGGAAGGGTGGAAGCTGAGAGAAGGACAGAGAAGAGAAGAAGGGGATGAGAGCCATAGCAGGGATCTACCGAGCTTTAAGGTGAGGAGCCCCCAGACTCAAATTCAAGGGCATTCGTTGCTGTAGGGCCAACTCCTCAACCTCCTCAGGGCTTCTTGAAAGCAAACAAGGGGTCAACATGAGCAAGTGTTCTGCAGAAAGCAAGGAAAGGGCTGATTTCTAGTACTGAGTGCTCTGGAGTAAAGGTGAAGACCCATGAAGGGCTGGGAAGGTGGCTCAGTGGTAGAGCGCTTACCTCGCATGCATGAGGCCCTGGGTTCCATTCTCAGCACCACATAAGCAGAAAAAACCGGAAGTGGCACTGTGGCTCAAGTGGTAGAGCGATACCCTTGAGCTGAAGAGCTGAGGGACAGCGCCCAGGCCCAGAGTTCAAGCCCCACGACCAACAACAATGACAAAAAAGACCCATGAAATCAGCTCTGCCTCATAAAAAAATACAGGGTAACCACATATGCAACTTGTATTTCTAACTGCTAAGGAAGAGAGAACCACACAGAATATTTTATTGTCCCTCTGTGTGTGAGAGAGAAAAAGGAAGAGTGAGAAAGAGACAGAGAGAGAGAGTCCTGGGGCTTGAACTCAGGGCCTGGATGCTTTCCCTTTGCTTTTTCACTCAAGATGGAGCTCTCCCGCCTTGGATCACAGCTACACATCCAGCTGTTTGGTGATTAATTGGAGATAAGAATCTTATGAATTTTTCTGCTCAAGTTGGCTTTAAACCATGACCATCAGATCTCAGCCTCCTGAGTAACTATGATTTACAGGCATGAGCCACTAACACCCAGCTTATTTTATTTTTGTATCAGTACTGGGGCTTGAACTTAGGGCCTGGACACTATCCCTTAGCTTTTTTTACTCAAGGTGGTGCTGTACCACCTTAAGCCAGGGCTTTTTAGTGGTTAATTGGAGGTAAGAATCTCACAGACTTTCCTGCGTGAGTGTCAGATGTCCGCCACCTGAGTAGCTAGGGTTACAGGTGTGAGCCACCAGTGCCTGGCTCCTAATACCATTTTATCTTTAAATTTACAGCACATCTCAATTTAGACTAAGCATACTTCAGGTGCTTAGTAGCCACACATGGCCAAGAGCAGAACTGTGCCAAAGAACATGCACCTTAAATTCACACAGGATAAAGACAAACTTCTCTAAGCCATTGATGAAAATGAAGCCTGTCTGGTGTAGATCTCAGGGGCAGAGATCCCCATGGACCTCTGTTCTTGTGGAGAACATGTGAATGCTTGTGTATGACAGTGTCCAGTTCCTGGAAGGTAACAGTACGTCAGTGCTCAAGAGTTCTCAACGCTGTCCCGAGGCAGGGATGAGCCTTTTTTTCTTTTTTTGTCTTGGTCAGTCATGGGGCTTGAACTCAGGGCCTGGGTGCTGTCCCTAAGCGCTTTTGTTTAAGGCTAGCACTCCATCACTTTGAGCCACAGCATTGCTTCCAGTTTTCTGGTAGTTAATTGGAGATAAGACTCTCACAGACTTCAAACTGGGTCCTCAGTCTGAGCCTCCTAAGTAGCTAGAATTACAGGTGTGAGCCACCAGTGCCCAGCAAGGGCCAAGCATTTTATAAGCACACGAAACTAATTCTCAGTAGCTGTGATGAGGCAGAATCACGGCTCAGGACCTGCCTGGGGAAGTGTGAGCCTCTGGAGACTGTGGCCTTGCTGGAAGTAGACCCTCTGTCCTTAGATCTGACCTATCAAAGGTAATTTTAAAAAAAGTGTCTGGAGCCAGACACTGGTGACTCATACCTGTAATCCTTGCTACTCAGGAGGCTGAGGTCTGACAATTGATGTCCAAAGCCACCCCAGAAGTAAAAAAGCCAGAAGTAGAAGTGTAGCTGAAACGGTAGAGTGCCAGCCTTGAGAAAGAAAGAAGGGGAAAAAAACACTAAGCAAGAACTCAATCCCCTGAGTTCAAGTCCCAGTACTGGCACAAAAAAGAAGACAGAAGCCAGGCACTGGTGGCTCATGCCTGTAATCCTAGCTACTCAGGAGGCTGAGATCTGAGGATCACAGTTCAAAGCCAACGCGAGCAGGAAAGTCTGTGAGACTCTTATCTCCAATAAACCACCAGAAAACGGGAAGTGGCTCTGTGGTTCAAATGATAGAGCACTCACCTTGAGCTGAAATGCTGAGGGAGAGCACCCAGGCCCAGAGTTCAAGCCCCACCACCGACCAAATAAAAACAAAGAAAGAAGACAAAGAAGAAGGTGTCAGGCCATGTGTGGGAGCTGTGTTTAGGTGGAGCCCAAGCATCCAGACCCATGGGCAGAGTCTTCCGTGGGACTGCAGGGGATGAGTGGAATGAGCGTGGGTTGAGTCTCAGGTGGAGTGAGTGCTACTCTTTGTCCAGGGCTGTGGGGACAGGGTGTGGCTGCAGGGTGGAATCTTGCACTCCTGGGGGAGACATGGTGTCTGTGTCTGTGTCCTTGGCTGCACACTGCTGGGCAGCTGGGCGTTGGAGTGCGTGTGCCCAGGCATGGCACGGTGTTCTCTGCAGTCACGCCATCCTCTCGGCTACTTGTCTGGGCCACTTCCTCTCAGGCAGGCGGCCAGGCCAGGCTCCGTGTGCTCCTGGGAGCTGGGCGGGGAGGAAGGCTCTGCCAAGACCCCTGGGCAAGGCTGGGAAGCAGAGAGAGGGAGGCTCTTGCTTCCAATTCTCCCAACACAGGCCAACTCAGGAAAAGCCTACAGGAGGATATGAGGTCTGTCTGGACTTCAGGAGAGGGGCAGGGAAGAGAGAGAGAGTGCGTGTGCGTGTGTGTGCACACACACACACATTTCAAGGTGGGAGGCAGACTGAGGGGACCCAGCCAGGCAGCAAGCTGTCTACTCAGTGCTTCTGATGTAAGCGGCTGCTATGAAGTTCCCAGGCTTTCTGTGCTTCCGGTCAGATGATTGGCCCCAGGAGAAAGGACGGCTCCGTGAATGAGATGTCAGAGAGCCAGTTCAGTAAAAGAAACATCTGTTCAACACTTGTTCATTGAACACATACTCTATGCATTGTGTGTGTGTGTGTGTGTGTGTGTTCTGGTACTGGGGATTGAACTCAAGACCTGGGCACCATCTCTGAGGTTTTTTGAGAGGGCAAGGTTGGTGCTCTACCACTTGAGCCACACCTCTACTTTTGGCTTTTTGCTGGTGAATTAGCAATAAGAGTTCCTTGGGTTTGTCTGCCCACACTGGCTTCAAACTTTGCTCCTCAGATCTAGCTAAAATTCTGAACACTGTCTCCCAGCTCCAATGTGTTACTTAACTAGCTGATAAGTACGGGGCATCCAGAACAAAGCAGGACCTGAGAGAGTGAGTGGTACAAATTGAGCAATGGCCTTGCTCAATCTTTAGCCCAGACAGATGGCAGTCTTTCTAACAGTATTATTCTCCAGCACCTCTAGGGCAGAAAGAACTCGAGAGCTGTTTCTGTCAGACAGAAGGGAGGGTTGTGAAAGGGCCCTGCAGGCCCTGGGGTCAAGGAGAGGGTCTCTTAGCCATGTTATGAGGGCAGAGACTGGGGAAGTTTTGTGGGTTTGAGGGACTGTGGGATCCCTGCAGGGAAGAGCTGAGGGGGGTGGTGACAGGCCCTTGTTTGGATTCTCTTTGAGCTGCTCCCTAGGCTCTACCTGGGCCCTGTGACCTTGATCCTCAGTCATCCTCATTTGGGGGGGGATGGGTTGGGCATGGAGTTTGAACTCCAGGCCTAGGCTCTGTCCCTGAGATTTTTCACTCCAGACTAGTCTTCTACCCCTTTGAGCCACAGCTCCATTTCCAGATTTCTGGTAGTTAATTGGTGATAAGAGTCTCACAGACTTTCTTGCCGGGGCTGGCTTTGAATCACAATCCTTAGATCTCAGCCTTCTGAGTAGTTAGGATTACAGATGTGAGCCCAGCCCTGTTACCCTCTTTTATGGGTTGCCTCTCAGCTCATCCTGGTCTGTCCTCACACAGAAGGGGTACAATGTGAGGTTGGATGTGACACAGATGACAGCAAGCAAGGGCCGAGCCAGCCAACTGTGGTTGTAGCCACCTAGCAAAACAATTCCTGGCTGTGATGCACTTTCCCGGCCACACTGGCGACATTCATCTCAACAAGCTGCCTAGGCTGGCAGAGCGTCTAGGCCTCTGCCCCGTCTCTGAGGGAGCCACTAGGAGGGGAGCAGGAATTCAGTCCTGCCTTCTAAGCTCTCTCCAGATCTTAGGTGGGTCTTCTCCTAACACCGCATGCAAAGGGACTCATCCTGTACAGGAATCTCAGCAGTATCATCACATCTCCAGGGAAGAGCCTGGCTCTTGGGCTTCACATATCCCTCAGCCTCAGCCATCTGGAAGACAATGCTAGGCTGCAAGGCTGCAGTCCAAGCTCTGTGCTAACTCTGTGATCTTAGCTCCATCATTTACTCTCCAGAGACCTCACTTTCTTTGCCTAGAAAATGGAGATGAGGGCTGGGAAGGTGGCTCAGTGGTAGAGTGCATGCCTTGCATGCATGAGGCCCTGGGTTCGATTCCTCAGCACCACATAAGCAGAAAAAGCTGGAAGTGGCGCTGTGGCTCAAGTGGTAGAGCTAGCTAGCCTTGTATGAAATCGCCAAACAAGAGTGTGAGGTCCTAAGTTCGAGCCCTAGTACCAGCAATAACAAAAAAGATAATGATCATCCAGTCATCTCTCGTTGTCATGTTCATGGGAGAGAATCCGAGGAAACAGCAAATTTCCATGAGCCCAAGGACAAACTAGAAACCCCTTCTGGGGACTCCCAGAAGGCAGAAGGCATGGAGGCAGTGAGGATCTGGGAAGGCTGCTAGGAGAGGAAGGTACAGAGAAGAGCTGTAGATATTTGTTTATTCCAGGATCTTGACTCCAAACACCATCACCTCCCTCCTCCCCACCCTATCCCTCTGTTGCACAGTGTCTGAGGTTCAAGTGGTCCAGGAGCCAGAATCTACAGGTCAGTATTGTCTGAAAGGAGAGGCCAGGACTGGCAGGCCAGCGGCTGTCTGGAGGGAGAGGCCTGGGCTGGAAGGATGGAAGGAAGGAAAGACTGAGGGAGCTAGGTACTGTTGTCCATGCCTTCCTTCCCCTCCCCTGTGGGAACCTGATCTCAGGGCCTGTCCTGGGATTTGAACTCAGGGCCTGGGTGCTATCCTTGAGCTTCTTTTGCACAAGACTAGCGCTCTACTATTTGAGCCATAGCCCCATTTCTGGCCTTTTTTTTTTGGAGGGGTTAATTGGCTCTAAGAGTCTCATGGACTTTTGTGTCCCAGCTGGTTTTGAACTGTGATCCTCAGATCTCAGCCTCCTGAGTAGCTAGGATTACAGGTGCGAGCACCATCGCCCGGCCCCAGACTTTTGAGTGCTCTCACAGGGCAGACGGGTCTGTGTGTCCCTTCCCCTTCTAGCCCATCACCTGCCCAGCCTTGAGGAGGTGACTGCCCATGTCCAGCTACAAGCCTGGCACACCCATGCAGACCTACCTGGCAGGGACATCAGTGCTGGTCCAGGATGAGGGGCACCTGGGCACTGTCCACGCGGGGAGGCAGCCGCTCGCCCGTGCGCACATTGAACATGGGCAGGGTGGAAAGAGGCCGGGGAACCTCACGGCTGGCCGCCATCTGCCTCAGCTCTTCCGTGTTCCCATGAATGGTGAAGTGGTGGATCATCTGGATGCTGAGGGCAGAGGGCAGAGGGCAGATGTCAGCAGCTCTCAGAGTCATCCCCTAGGGTCTAGGACCCAAATATACCATATGGGAACAGGGACACCACAGGAAATCCCACAGGGCCTGCTCGTGTCCCATGGCTGATCACAGGCCCTAGGTGCAGATAGCCTGGGCTCAGAGCTTCCTCAGCAAGCTGCCTCGGTTTCCTCAACTGTGACGTGAGGGCGGCCAGGCCTGCCTCCTAGACTGATGTGAAGATTCAATGAACCAATGCGGCTTGGGGTGCAGAGCAGGGGTCAGCCTGGGGTGAATGCTCAGGAGATGCTGAGACGTGAACACATACCCACAGTGGACACACACTGCTGGGCTTCAGAGCCTGGTTAGAGTCTGATGGCTCTCTTCCAGCACTCAGCCTCTCTCTCAGTACCAACTCCAAGCACCAAGCATTGCACACTCAGTTCTTCTCTCAAAAACCGCAAGCACCTAGCATGGAGCACTCAGCTCTTAGTACCAACCCAAGCACTGAGCATCTAGCACTTGCTCAGAACTAACTCCAAGCACTCAGCATTGCACTCAGCTCCTCTCTCAGAAACTCCAAACACTAAGCATCCAGCACCCAACTCTTCTCTCAGAACCAACTCCAAACACTAAGCACCTAGTACCCAGCTCCTTTCTTAGTACCAGTTCCAAGAACTGAGCAGCTAGCACTCAGCTCTTCTCTCAATACCAACTCCAAGCACTGAGCATTGCACTCAGCTTCTCTCTCAGAAATTCTAAATACCAAGCATCCAGCACTTAGCTCCTCTCTCAGCACCAATTCCAAGCACTGAGCTTCTAGCACTCAGCTCTTTTCTCAGTACCAACTCCAAACACTGAGCATCAAGCACCCAGCCCCTCCCTTTTTTTTTTTTTTGTCAGTCATAGGGCTTGAACTCTGGCCTGGGTGCTGTCCCTCCCTCAGCTCTTTAACTCAAAGCTAGTGCTCTACCACTTGAGCCATAGCACCACTTCCAGTTTTCTGGTAATTAATTGGCGATAAGAGTCTTACGGACTTTTCTACCTGGGCTGTCTTTGAACCATGGTCCTCAGATCTCAGCCTCCTGAGTAGCTAGGATTACAGGCGTGAGTCACCAGCGCCCAGCCAGCCCCTCTCTCAACACCACCTTTCTCCTTGACCTTCTCTGGCCTCCCAACTTTTGCCCAGGCTGCCTCTCCTCGCATTACAGCCTCCCCACAGCCCTTGGGCATCTCATTGTTTGGCTCCTTGGACCTGTCCCATGCTCCTTTTGTCCTAACCTCTCCTGAACATTGGCTTTTGTTTCTTTTCTCTGTTTCAGACCAGAGTTTCTAAAAGCTAGCCTGACGCTCCACTGCCGGTGTCCTGGAACACTCTAATGAGTGGTCCCATCCTTCAGCATTCTTCCTGAGCTCCAGCTCCTGGTCTCCTTCAGGAGGCTCAGCTGTGTTCACAGGTGACATCCTCATGGACTTGCTCCCACCGTCCATGGATGGGCTTGAGTCCTCTCAGAGCATCAGGTATCAGAGCGAAGGATGAGGACTTGCTTTGGGCTTGAATCTGCATTCTGCTGTTTATGGCTCTGTGACCTTAGGTAAATTACTTAACCTCTCTGTGCCGTTGTGTCCTCACTTGTAATGCAGTTGCATGAATTAAAGGTTAATCTAGGAAAAAAGCACTTAGAGAGCCTCCTGGTCCAGCTTATAGCCAGCAGTAGCTTTTTTTTGTTTTCTTTGTCGGCTATGGGGCTTGAACTCTAGGTCTGGAGGCTGTCCTTCAGCTCTTCAGCTCAAGGCTAGTGCTTGCACCACTTCCAGCTTTTTCTAGTTATGTGGTGCTGAGGAATAGAACCCAGGGTCTCATGCATGCAAGGCAAGCACTCTACCCTTGAGCCACCTTCCCAGCCCTATTATTTTTTGCGTGTGCCAGTACTGAGTCTTGAACTCAGGACCTCACACTCACACTTGGCCTTTTCACTCAAGGCTGGTGTTTTACCACTGGAGCCACAGTTCCACAGTTAGCCTTTTGTGGTTAATTGGAGATAAGTCTCCTGGGGTTTCCTGTCTGGGCTGGCTTTAAACCATAATCCTCAGATCTCAGCCTCCTAAGTAGATAGGATTTACAGGCACCTCTGAGCCACCAGCCCTCTTCTAGTAGCTATTTTTATTTTTATTTTTTTTTTTGCCGGTCGTGGGGCCTGAACTCTGGGCCTGGGCGCTGTCCCTCAGCTCTTCAGTTCAAGGTTAGCACTCTACCACTTGAGCCACAGCACCATTTCTGGCTTTTTCTGCTTATGTGGTGCTGAGGAATTGAACTCAGGGCCTCATGCATGCAAGGCAAGCACTCTACCTCTGAGCCACCTTCCCAGCCCTGCTATTATTATAGGATGCTTGCAGCTACTATGGCAACACTTGATGTTATTTTCCTATAACAATCCCCACAATGAACTTGGCCTCCAGGGGAAATTGAGACAGGTCAGACAGAGCAGAGACTTTTCCTTATGAACAGCAGAAATTGCTGTTCTTAGGACGTTGTTATTCTTAGCACCCCCTCACCCCATGCGGGCTAAAGCTACCCCACTTGCCACTCATTAGGAATCCGGTGGGGGGAAGTGGTCTCCACCATGTTCAAGTCTTATTCACTAGACACAGGATCCAGTTAGCACCTGAAAGGCGAGACTACAGAAAGACTTTCAGCCTCGTGCAGAATGGACCACTCTCGCTGGGGAGTGCGGCTGAACACCGGGCACCCTCTGGCTGAGGGAAGACAGGTGTCTTAGAGTTGCCATCTAAAAGTCAGAGGAAGATCAAGACAAAGCCATGAGTCTGAAATTTGGCAAAATGAGATATCCAAAACCATAGTTTTGCACTCCTCAGCAGCAGGAGACTGAGGAGGGAGGAGGGCAAGGGGTGGAGCCAGCCAGGCAGGTGAGAACCCCAGCAGGAAAGGCTTTAGTCAGTGGCCTGCTTCACCCCAGGTCCCACACCCAGATCCAGATGGGAGAACACCCTGGAGCAGGAGCAGACCCCAGACCTCGGGGTGCCTTTTCCCACAGGCAACAGAAGAGCGGGTGGGAGTTCTTACATGCCCAAACACACACATATACACAAATACACACACATGTGACCTAGATCTCAGCCACCTCCTACTCCACCAAAAACTGAATGCACTGGGCCTGGTAGAACATGTGAACAGTTAAATTGATATAGGCGATACACAAGCTGCAGAACCACAACTTATGGCTAATTTCAAAGATGGCAGACACAGAGGGCTGAGGTATAACAGTGGTAGAGTTCTTGCCTCACGTGCATGAGGCCCTAGGTTTGATCTCCAACATGGGAAACAAATAATTACCTTTAAAAATTAATGCACTAGGGCTGGGAAGGTGGCTCAGTGGTAGAGTGCTTGCCTTGCATGCATGAGGCCCTGGGTTTGATTCCTCAGCACCACATAGCAGAAAAAGCTGGAAGTGGTGCTGTGGCTCTAGCCTTGAGTTGAAGAGCTGAGGGACAGTGCCCAAGCCCAGAGTTTAGGCCCCACAACTGACAAAAAAAAAAAATGCACTGAGCAGAGTAAAACAATTTAGCGAGGTGCTGGTGGCCCATGCCTGTAATCCTAACTACTTAGGAGGCTAAGATCGGAGGATCAAGGTTAAAACCCAGCTCTGGCAGAAAAATCTTTTTTTTTTTAGTCTGTCAGGGCCTGAGTGCTGCCCCTGAGCTCTTCACCTCAAGGCTAGTGCTCTACCACTTGAGCCACAGTGCCAATTCCGGTTTCCTGATAATTGTCTCATGGACTTCCCTGCCCGAGCTAGCTTTGAACCATGATCCTCAGATCTCAGCCTCCTGAGCAGATAGGATTACAGGTAAGAGCCACCAGTGCTTGGCTCTATGAGACTCTTAATCTCCAATTAACCACCAAAAAGCCAGAAGTAGAGCTGTGGCTTAAGTGATAGAGTTCTAGTCCTGACCAAAAAAGCTCAGGGACAGCACTAAGGCCCTGAGTTCAAGCTCCAAGACTGGCACCAAAAATAGGAAGAATTAAAAAATTGAAAAGCCATGGGCTGGGATGGTGGCTCAGTGGTAGAGTGCTTGCCTTGCATGCCTGAGGCCCTGGGTTCTATTCCTCAGCACCACATAAGCAAAAAGAAAAAAGCCAGAAGTGACTCTGTGGCTCAAGTGGTAGAACGCTAGCCTTGAGCTGAAGAGCTGAGGGATAGTGCCCAGGCCCAGAGTTCAGGCCCCACAACTGGACCCAAAAAAATAAAAATAAAAATATATTTTAAAAAATTGAAAAGCCAAACCAATGAATACACATGGAAAAAATGGTTATTTAACTTTAATTGGATGGCAGAAGCAGATTTTCCTGACAAGAGGGCCCCCCCAAAAAAATTGACCCAGTAGATCTCAAAGTGGGGAAAATACTTGTTAAAATACAGACAAAATTCACAATGACAGTAGATATAACCAATTTGGCATGGCGCCACGCTCCACCCCCTCCAAAAATAATAAACTCCACCTTGTGCAATTAACAGGAAAAGGCATTGACTGTGATGGAGGTGAACTCTAAAAATAAAATAAAATAAATGAAGTCTATGAAAGTAAAATTTTTAAAAAATTAGCTTTGTGGTTTGGGATTTTTTTTTTAGTTTTGTGGTGTTTATACCATTGAGTTACATCCCTGATTCCTTTTTACTGTTGCCTAGAAAGTTGACGGACTTACATAAATCAAGGAATTTTATTTGTTTACTCTGGAAAGCATATTCCCCATGAAAATCATGTTGGTGTTTAAAACGCTTTGGGAGCATTTTTCTGGTCCAAGAGCTTGAACTCAGGTTCTAGAGAGAGAGCTCAGCTGGCACTCTACCATTTGAACCACACCTCCAGCCCAGCCTTTTGATGGTTAAGTGGAGATAGAGTCCCGTGGATTGTTTATTTCTGCCTAGGCTGGATTCAGGCCATGATTGTCTTCCAGATCTCAGCCTCCTAAGTAGCTAGGATTACAGGCTAGGCTAAAATATTCTGTAACCCAGAGACACAAAGAGCCAGATGGTAGGGCCAAATGATGGGTTTAAAACTGAGGGCCAAGGCTATGCTATGTGCATGCACGCACACCCAAGTGCCCACCAATCTGGCTCTTCTCTGCAGGGCACCTGGTACAGCAGGTGTCCACACTGCTACTTCCTGTCTGCCCCTCCCAGGAGAGGGCACAATGGGGTCCCTGTGACCCTTGCAGGATTCTGGTGGCCTCACAATGGCCCCCTGAGGTCACTGCAGAGATAACTTCGCCTCCCCCCAAGCCCACGGCAGGAGTCTGCTGAGGCCAGCAGTGGGTGATCATCCTTGGTCGCCCCTCTGGCCACCCAGGGGAGGTGTGGGCCAGAGCCTTACAAGAAGCCTCTGAGGGCAACGGGAGCCGGGACACAGCTTGCTGACCACCAAGACTGACCCTGTGGAGATTTTACAGCCACCACCCTGGAGGTTCTGACACCCAACTCCCCGCCACTTCCCCCGGGAGAGATGCAGAAAGACACTTCTCCAGTGGCTCCACCGGCGCCCTCGGCCACAAACACTGCCATGGGTGGAAACTGGCAGGCCAGCGCATCAGGGACCCCTAGCAAGAGTGAGACTGGGCCTCACACCTTCCCCAAAGCCCATCAGAGGCCCAGCATGTCGAAGGTGATCCTGGGGGCTGTGGCAGGCAAGGGGCTACGCAACCGCGTGTCCCTGGCCGCCCTGAAGAAGGCTGTGGCAGGCACAGGCTACAACATGACTCGCAACTCCTGGCGTTTCAAGTGCGTGATCCAGAAGCTGCTGGACAGTGGCATGATCAAGCAGGTGTCTGGCAGAGGCTACTCAGGCTCCTTCAGCCTGGGCAAGAAACAGGCCAAGAAGATCAGGGCCAAGAGACGCCAGCAGCGAAGAAGGTCTGGGCAGCGTCACTCTGGGCACCGCCGTTCCGGACAGCACAGGTCAAAAGTGGGCCCCAAACAGGGCCAAAAGCAGCTTTTCAAGGGAGTCCGCCGGGCAACCAAGGGCCGCCGCACTTAACCAGGCAGGCCAGGCAGAGAGGCAGGCACACCACACCTGCTGCGGGCTGTGTGCAGTGAGAATAAAAGGAGCCCGACTTATATCACAACTGCCTCCTGGAATCTTTGGGGGGTTCAGGGTGTGGGGGAGGAAGAGGGATGTGGGGGGGGGTACAGAGAAGGGAGAGAGCCATAGGTAGGGGACGCTGGGATAAAATAAGAAATGGATTTGGAAAGGGCTTCTTGCCCAGGCTGGCTTTGAACCACGATCCTCAGATCAGCCTGAGTAGCTATGATTATAGGTGTGAGCCACCAGTGGCTGCCAGTGCCCAGCTACTTCTCTTTAATTCTGTTCAAGACCCACCACCCACCTATAGCACAAGGGACCTTTTGGACCTTTTTTTTTTTCTTTCTGAAGTCTCAGCCTCCTGAGTAGCTAGATTACAGGTGTGAGCCGCCAGCATCAGCACTGGGCTCACAAAAGACTCTTTATGATGACTCCGAGCACAGCCCCGGGCCCAGCCTTCAGCCTGCCCAGGAGGTCGGGGAGGTCACACACCTCCCTCTCCCAAAGGAAAGCAGCTTGTCTCTATAGCTTATGGAGGTTGGAGGGTCCAATGTGACAGTCTAGGGGGGCTCCCACCCAACCCCCAGCCTTCCCATACTCACTCAGAGGTGGCCTGGTCTCTCTTCAGCCTGTGAAAAAAGCAAGGATGAGAGTTGGTCCCTCACCAATGTCCCCTGGCTGCCTAAAGTACCTTACACTCCCCTTCTGGGAACCCCACTCCCTGAGGGCCCTGGGTCCCTGGGAATGAGAACCAGCTGGTGTCCCCTGCCCTCTGCCCCCGCCTCACCGTCCTTCACGCCGGCAGCACATGATGTAGGCCAGCAGCAAAGTGAGCAGCAGGGCCACCAGCAGAGGCACCAGGAGGGTGACCAGGGCATCTGTCAGAAAGTCTCGATCTGTGGCCTCCATGGGTGGGCAGAAGAACGGGTCATACTCCAAGATCCCGTCGCCTAGGGTGGGCGGCACCTCTGGGGGCTCTGGTACTGATATATCTACCTACACAGAAAGCCAGGGCTGACCCAGAGTCCCCTAGGGGACAGGGGACAGTTTCCAGGGCACACAGCCACAGGGTTTTCTCCTGCTTGCCTCCCCTAGCCTAGATGACCTTGCAGGAAAAAACACAGGACAAGGAGCCAGGAGAGACAAGATAATACAATGGTTAGGTCCTGTTCTTCAGCCTTGTGCTTCCCTGGGGGTGGTTTGCCTCTCCATGCCTGTTTCAGTGTGATCATGGTGTACCTGCTTCCTGTAGTGACTGTGAGAATGAAAAGTGCAGCGGACACAGTGCCCAGAGCCTGGCAGGTATCGGGACTGGCCCCTGACTCTGCAGCTCTTGAGTGTCCCTGCCCCACCCCACCCCCCACTCCTGGGCCAATTTCCCAAAAGCAGAGCACTCCTAGTGTGGGATTGGGGATCAGCATCCCCAAGAGCTGTGATGGGCCTCTTGAGTTTATAGTTTGGAAAGCTATCCGCTCCTTGTTACAGGCAGGTTTACTAGGAAGAATCTGGAGGCCCTTCATGAGGGACTGATGGTGGTTGTAGCTACGGGGCTGGGCAGCACTACGATGCCAGAGCCGGAGGCCCTGCATGTGGACTGTAGACTCTGTCGACCTCTTGTGGTAGAAAGTAGAATTTCTCTCTTTCCTCAAACACTTCTCCCCCCCCCCCATCCCCACCCCGCCCCCTCTGTGGGGGGGGGGGGCAGACAGAGGAGAGGAGAGGGGTGGAGGGAAAAGGGAGGAAAGGAGAGTAAGGAGAGGGAGACAGACAGGAAAATGGGAGACAGGAGAGGGGAAAGAAGAGAGAGGGCAGAAAGAAAAGAGGAAAGAGAGAGAAAGAGCCAATACCTCAATACTAATGCTGAGACCCTGACTGATCATCAGAGGGAGAAATCGAGTGGAGTGGGAAGCAGTACAGGGGTCATCATGGGGACATGACCCACCCCCAGCCCTGGAGCCCGGGTCTCTCCTCACCAGGGACACGTTGCACCAGTCAACACGGAAGTAGGGTGCTAAGGTGTCATAGCAAGACAGAAGTGGAGGCTGGCCCTGGGCACAGCGGGCCTGGCTATCGGGGGACGCCACCATCTTCAGGCAGGTAGAGAAGGGTGAGGCAGAGCCCACCTTGATGTACACCCTGGGCACAAAGAAGCCACTGTCAGCAGAGTGGGGGGAGGGAGAATACTAGGCACCATGGTGTTGGTGTGTCCTAATGGTAGGGTAGGAAAGACAGCTTGGAGATGGGGTTCAGGAGGCATGTGATAAACTACTGCCCCCAAGATCTGAGGCCACCCAGATCCCTCCATTTTTTGTGCATTGTATGTGTGCCAGTGCTGGGGCTTGAACTCAGGGCCTGAGTGCTGCCCCTTAGTAGGTTTTTTGTTTGTTTTTTGCTCAAGGCTGGTACTCTACCACTCTTATCTCTTAATTTCCTTTCCTGTTCCAGCTGGCTTTGACCCATGATCCTCAGATCTCAGCCTCCTAAGCAGCTAGGATTCCAGGTATGAGCCACCAGTGCCTTGCCCAATACCCCATTCTTTAGGCCCTAGGACTTCCTTCTGGGGGGGACTAGGAAATACTGAATTCACAGTACTGAATGGAAGTGACAGGAACAGACAGAGGTGTGCAAGGATGAGGAATCCCAGCTGTAACTAGGGGAACCCCTGTCTTATGCCCACCTCCCGGGGTTGCCGCTTACCCTTCCTTACGGCCCTCGATAGGAAGAGGGACCCGGCCCCCACGGTCCAGGGCTGAAGTGACGTTGAGCAGCTGGAGCTGCCCTGGCTCCCAGAGCCCGCCCAGGGCTGTGAGGAAGCGGCTGGCAGGTGTGGAGGGCAGGAGCTCTTCCACGTCATGGCTGCGCACCAGGAACTCCGCGTGGTAGGGGAGCCGGGGACCTGAGTGGCCAGGGAGACACTTGGCTGCACCAGGTCCCCTCTCTGCCCTCTAGATCTTTCCTTAGCCTTCCTCAAGCTCTTCTTTTCCAAGTCCCCCAATACCACATATAGATATACCACAGGCCCCAAATGCTTTTCCCCAACATGTGCAGCACCCTTGGTGACTTGCCCAGGTCCCTATTTCAGTTGGTACAGAGACAGAAACCCAGCCAGACACGAGCCCCAGTCCAGGGCTTGTTCCCTAAAAACCACCAATGTCATGTCCCGCTGCTCCCCAAGCCTCTCCCTGATGGAGAAGGGGGGAGCAGGATTGGGGGTACCTTCTGGGTCACCAATTATCAGCACCAGCCTCTGCCTAGTGGTGTTGAAGCTGTCCCGATTATAGGCTGTGACCTGAGGGGATGTGGGAAGAGAGTACAGCAGTGGGATTAAGGGAAAGGAAAAGCTCTTCAGTGGCGGGGGGGGGGGATGAGTAGGGGGGGGTCTGATAGAAAGCACCCTTGGTAAAGCAGGGGTATGCAAATTACATGTAAATGAATGCCCAATGAAAGTGCAGGAGCACCCAGTGCCCCTAACAGGCCTGCTGTGAGGAGGCCACAGTGATCTGCCCTCTGGGGGTCTCCGAGGGTCCCTGCCAGCACCTCTATGACTTGGTGCCCCCGATCTTCTGGGGTGGCGGTGCCGTAGAGGAAGCCAGGATTGTAGGGGCTGCGCTGGGTGTAGCGGAGCCAACGGGGCAGGTCAGGATGTCCCTGGAGGTGGGCATGGTAGGTGATTCGCACGGTGGGTGGGACGGCTGGTGAAGACAGAAGATGGGATTGGAGTCTGAAAGGACAAAGCCTGCGCCCCCCCCCCTCCCCTGACACCCGCTGGTCCCTCAGGCCCCTCACCAACGTGCTCCGGAAGGCGCAGGAAGGTGGCAGGGTCCAGGGTATGCACAAAGAAACGGCCCACAAGTGGGTGTAGAGTGGTCTGCTGGGCCTCAGCACCCCCTAACCCTGCCAAGAAACCTAGAGGGACCCCACAAGGTCCAAACACATAGGCAGCCTCAGTTCTGGGTAAGCACCATTGTATACTAAGTGCCCTGTGATCCTAAAAAGTCTGAAAGAACCCCAATCTCCCACACATCTGCCTTCCTTGATCTATGGAGCAGCGGAACCAGGCCTGCCCAGGAATGGAGTAACAAGGACTTGCCCAGCTCCCTCCTCCTCCCCCTCAAGTCCAGATTTAGCCTAGGCCTCATAGAAGCAGTGTCCAAGCCAGCCCATTAAAGAGCCCGGGTACAGGACCCTCCGGACCTGTGCAGTCCAGCCCACCCCAGCCCTAAGATATATACACACTCGGGGCTCCCAACCTCCACACCCCAGAACCTAGTGCCCAGTCCCTGACTCCTTGGCTGCCTGGACATTGACCACCCCCAAAGACTTCAGGCCCTACCTCACCCCACATTCTTCCCACCCATTCTTCCACCTCATCCTCCCTGAACTCTCTCCGTCCTGACAGCTCCCTAAAGAAGACCCCAACTTGCCCACAAGCAGAGGAATCCACATAAGTGCTGCTGCCATGGCTGTCCAGCCCTGCTGGCCTTGGTGAGTGACAGAGACAGGAGCAGGGAGGAAGGAGGGAGGGACAGGAGGGGGAGGTGTCCCAGAGCAGCTGGGGCCCAGCCTTGGCCAGCAGGGCCCTCCCCCTTCCCCTCCCCCAAAAGCACTGAATCTGGGGTAGGTACTATTCTCATACAGTGTGTGTGTGTGTGTGTGTGTGTGTGTGTGTGTGTGTGTGTGTGTGTGTAAGACAGGGTCTTACTATATAGCCCAGCCCAGGCTGGCTTCCAGCTCACAAGCCTTAACCTCCCAAGAGCTGGGATTATAGTTGTGTACTGCCATTCTCTGGTGCAGAGCACATTTTCCTAAGGACTAACCTCCCTGGACCAGCCCTAAAATCCTAAGGTCTCCCACTTCCTGTAAGTTCCCAGTTCATCCTCAGTTGATGGCTTTCTGTTTTTTGTTTTTGTTTTTAGTTTTTGCCAGTCCTGGGGCTTGAACTCAGGGCCTGAGCACTGTCCCTGAGCTTCTTTTTGCTCAAGGCTAGCGTTCTTCCACTTGAGCCACAGCGCCACTTCCAGCTTTTTCTGTTTATGTGGTACTGAAGAATCAAACCCAGGGCTTCATGCATGCTAGGCAAGCATTCTACCACTAAGCCACATTCCCAGCCCCTTGATGGGCTATTTCTCCTATCTTTAGTACTCCTTTATATATCCTCCCACCACACACACACACCATTCCTAGGCTTCCCCCACTTGGTATGCTTTCTTTTAAAGAATTGTGTTCCCTCTGCCTGGAGTTCTCTTCCTGCCTGGTCCCCATTTTCCTGCTCTGCCTGCAGGAAAGCAAAAAACAACCCCTTCACAAGTCTTCCCAGGTCTATCTCTCCAAACCCTTTCTACTCCCTTTCCTCCTGGGTCTGCCAGGTATGTTGTAGCCTCTGCACACAACCCTGAGCCAACCCAGCCTCACAACAGCAGTGGTAGGCATGCTCTGAGCTCCTCAGAGACTAGGATCTGTCTAACTTCCTATCTCTGCATCTGGGCATCCAGTCCAGCACCTACTAGGTGGAGAGGGCTGGGTGACTGCTTCCTTAACAAATGGAGGTAGCTGTTCCCCCAGTTTGAGCCTCAGGCCAAGCGTCCCCCTGTGTAGATCTAGGCGGAGGCAGCCCTGATGGGACTGGCCAGGTGATGATAGGTGAATGGAGTGCTGCCCTCCCTGGCTCTCCCTGCTGGGGGCAACAGCACAGGCTGGGGGGCTTGCAGGCCCAACACAAACCCCCCACTCTGAAGCTTCCTGGAGACGTGGCCTGGAGTGAGTCACTTGGTCTCTGTAGGCCTCTGTTTCCACCACCACCAGCAGCTATGTGGACAGTGCTGCCTTTTCCAGGCCTTGATCATCAACTGATAATGTTGTGTGCAGAGCTCCTACCTGGTCCCAGGTGCTAAAGATGCAGAGATGCGCAAACCCCGCCCATGTCTGCTAGTGAGCAGGGACAGCTGTCCAGCCTGCTGCTGGGCTCAAGGGCTCATTTATTTATGTACATTAACCCACTCCACCCCCACGGCTGTTTCATGAGGCAAGTATTACTCGTCCCCATTTCACAGATGGTAAGACTGAGCAGAGGGTTGTAATGGGGGTATAACCGTGCTGCTGCTGACTGCCTGTGAATGGAAGGCATTGACCCCAATGACAACCACTGGTGTATTTGTCCAAGTGTGCAGGAGACTAGCGCTCTTCCCTCCCAGGACCTCCCATTCAGAACAGGGACGGGGCAGTCGTTCCGTGTGCCCAGAGAAGTCAGCAGTGCCACCATAGCAACCAGTATTCCAGACAGCCATTCCAGTCCTTGCTGCACCTCACCCATCCCATCCCACAACCAACTTCCCCAGCAAGGACATCTACCACCTGATATAAGTCAGGCCTAAGTGCTTGAGGCTATGGGCCTGCACGTTTGGGCTGTGGGGTGACAGATGGCAGGTTTTATAGTCCTTGTCCCTTCCTGTCTCAGACAGGCTCTCTGACAGGTGTGTGTCCTGAAAAAATCTTAGCATCTCTCTACCTTCTCAGAGACAGGGGCCAGGAAGAGGCTGTGGAGACAGGAGAGTTGATGTCCCAGTGGCAGCTGCCCCAGCCCAGCCCCGGAGCTTGTTCATATGACTCCCTTTGTCCCCCAGCTGCCTCCTCTGCTATTTTTGGAGCTACCCACTCACACTCTCAGCCCCAACCAAGCAGCATTTGGGCATCCAGTGTTAGCAGGCCAACAAAGACCATCCCTTGCTCTAAAGAAAGTCAGCAATCACTTCCCCTCTGGTCCTCCCCAACACCATCCCTATCAGGAGAGCCAAGGGTTGTCCCAGGAGGCAGCTGGAGTCCCCAAAAGGCAGCCACAGGCTCCTAGGTCACCAAAGGATCTCCCTACTTGGGAGCTGTGTGGGCTACCACCTTGAGTTCACGCCTGTAATCCTAGCTACTCAGGAGGCTGGCATCTGAGGATCTGGCAGCTTGAAGCCAGCCCAGGCAGGAAAGTCCCTGAGACTCTTATCTCCAGTTAACCACCAAAAAGCTGGAAGTGGAGCTGTGGCTTGAGAGATATAGAGCACCAGTCTTAGAAAAAAAAGCTAAGACAAAGTGTGGCCCTGAGTTCAAGCCCCAGTAATGGCACCAAAAAAAGAAAACAAAAACAAACAAAAAAACCCATCAAAAACACAACTTTGGAGCTTTTGGAAAACATACAGATGGAAATAATGAGCTCCTTCCTACGTATCCACTGCCCAGCTTCCGCAATTATCAACCCCTGGACAAACTAGTTTGATCTATATGGTTCCCATTTAATGTCACAGTGGCCCTGGACTCGGTGAGCCAGTTGGCCCCTCCCTTCTCTGTCTCCTTCCTCTCCACATCCCCTCACCCACCCTTTCTCTCCTTCCCTCTCTATTTCCTCACCTGACCATCCTATCTCTCCTAGGAGAGCCACCAAATTCCAGAGTCAGCATCCAGCAGGGCTCTCAGGCAGGTGTGTGTCCTGGAATAACCTTGGCATCTCTGCCTTCCTCAGAGATAGAGGGGAGAGGAAGGGGCCCTGGAGTCAATGAGTCAGTGGCTCCTAAGAACATAAACCACAAAACGTAATCAATTAACATCACCACTAACGCTTTAATATCAAACTTCCAGTGTTCAGTGTTTACATCAACTACATGTTGACTGACACTGGAACAAGACGGAGAAGACTGGTGTGTGCCTCCTGCACAAGGAGAACATGCAAATTCTTTTTTTTTTGTCGGTCATGGGGCTTGAACTCTGGGCCTAGGCGCTGTCCTTCAGCTCTTCAGCTCAAGGCGAGCGCTCTACCACTTGAGCTACAGCGCCACTTCCGGTTTTCTGGTGGTTTATTGGAGATAGGAGTCTCACGGTCT